ATGCGTTGAGGCAGCGCGCTGCATGTATGCGCATCGCAGCCGCCAGCCACTCATCCATTGGATGACATCACAGCAGAGGGACAGGCGAGTCCAACCAGTTGTTAGGACGCATCAGTGTGACACGAGCAGGCCTCCTTATGTGTGGCTGTGAGTATGCTGCCCTGTTTTATTATGGCTGCTGCCTGGTGTTACCTCTGCGCCTCCATTCAGCTGGAGGATGAGCAGACAGAGCACCAGCTTCAACAGTGATGATGCTGTATTTACACAAAACTGATCAGCTGGACTTCAGCACTGTCATGATGATGTGCTTTAATAAAGACAATATCTCAGTGATGCTCCATCTCTGTGTCGATGAGAGGATTCTATCTTATATCCCCAAAGAGGAGGTTCCCAACCAGGTAATTCTGAGGGTCACATACTTTATTCGTCCTTTAAATTGTGATGATGGGCAGTAATGAAGCATAAAAGTTTCACATAGAAATTTAAGCAGGAACCAATAACTACTTAACTGTACTTCTATTAAGGGAGAACACTCATTGGCATAATGCATTCCCTATAGTTCCTACCTCAACCTGACCTGACCCGAACCCTTAAAGCAAGTCTCAACCCTCGAACAGTCCAATGAAAGGGCAACCAGGCTTTTCACATCTAACCTCAAACAGAACCTAAGAAATTAAGCTTGGCCTCATTAGGACCTGGATTTGGTTCCCATCCTGACAAGGTTGTTTAATTTACACTAGAAAAAGTCCAAAGAGGTAATAAAAATGACTCTCTCTCACACACACACACACACACACACACGCCAATGCATGAAAGCAAAACGAGTAAAATGATTATGAAAATTGAATCAAATGTTTATTTGAATTGTGAAATGTGTGATAGGCATCTAAATCCATTAAATTAAACAGTCTGGTGGATATTCTGTTGTGGGGCCACAAAGATCTCTCTTTATTTTAAGGTGTCAAAAGCAAAGTGGTCAAACCCAACCCTCAAACATTTCCATTTAAAGCACTGTTTCATTTAATCCATGTACCTGAGAAAACCACCTGGACAATGAGATTCTTAGCTGAAAAGCAGTTGAGAGTCTCTGTTCAGTTCAACCTGAGCTGACTTGTGTTTTGTTTTGTTTTTGACCAGGGGAGGAAACTGGATCACCTGCCGGAACCCACGTGAACAGGCAAACATGCAAATTATTCAAACACAGAGAGGCTTGTGACAAGGCTCCACTGAGCCTGCGAGACGCTACAGAGCTGAAACTAGCTGTCAATTGGTAAATGAATAATTGAATAAAGAATGAATGAATAGATAATGATGACATAAACTGTTGGTTGTATGTCATCTTGGGTTCTAGAACACTGCATCATTATTTGATTGTTTCATGATTTTTCAGTAAGCCCATAATTTATCAAAACAATAACAGGCAGATTATTATTATTTTCAGCCTGGGACACATTGAATCAGATCAAGTCACAGGCATTGTGTGTGTGTGTGTGTGTGTGTGTGTGTGAGAGAGAGAGGTAGAGAGAGAGAGAGAGAGAGAGAGAGAGAGAGCATTAAGTTGCTAAAGAAGGACACTTTATCCGGCCCTGTCTCATTGTGTTTGTCCTGAGGCAAAATGAAAAGCAACAATTTAACATAGGCTTCTTCTCACAGTAATGTAAGAGGGAGTGTGGTAGAGCACATCTGCACTTCTCTTTTTGGCCACAGGGTGACGCTCTCTGCACATTGTATCGACTGATGTGTAAACTCCTTTCTTGCTGGTATGCTGTTATCTTCAGGTGGCCTATAGCTTTACACAAACTAACTTATCTCCCATTAATAACCTTTGTTTTAATTAAGTTAATTAATTAATTATCTATTTGTCACAGGTAACTTTAGTTAAGAGTTAAGAAGGCCTCCACACAGTGTCTTTAAAATGGACAAGTGTCAAAGTTTCATAGTCTATTTGTGACTAGCATCCATCTAGTCACTGCATGTGTTCCCTGGACTTATTAATGGACAATTAATAATTTATCAATGCTTTATAATACAACTAAAGGCCATTATTAGGCTGCCATTGTGTAGCCAGGTTGTGGTTGGTGTTATCCTCCTCTAGCAGAACACCTTTGTCATGGAAATGTCATCCTCACATAACCTTTCTCTTTCAGCCATTCTCCAATACCCCTTTGGTGTAAATTGTTCAGTCCAGTAAGCTCTTATCTGGCATTTCTTCCCTCCCTGTGACATGTAGCGAAACCACCTACTTCATCCAAGGTCGCCCCTCTCATAACAAGTCAGTAATAATGACTTTGTTTCTTATTAATTCTGTTGTGTGGAGTTCTGGGTCAATCCTTTTGCGAAAGCTTCTTCTTAATAAATACACAAAGAAAATGTTGTTTGCTCTTCATTTGCAGATTTGCACCACACTCGCTCTCCCTTTATTGGTCTAAAAGGTTCAGTGTGTAGAATGTAGTGACATCTAGAGGTGAAGTTGCATGTTGCAGCTGAATACTCCTCATCTCACCCTCCCATTCCCGACATTAAGTTGTCATGAAAACTCAAAAGGTTTTAAATTGTCCAGTTTGGACGACAGTAAAAAACATGGTGTCCTCCACAGAGAGGAGCCACCCTCCATGTAAATATAACATTTTTAAATATAAAGGGCCATTCTATGGTAAAGAAAACAACAATTCATACAATTTAGATGAAACACACCAGTGAAAACATCACTTGGATTATTTTATATTAAATTTCTACCAAAAATCCCTTTCACTCAAATCTTACACACCTTTAAGTGCACTAGAGTGACCACTACAGTAGAAAATCACTTGTATTTCGTGTTGAGGAAATACATTTGTGACAAAGTCTTAACATTTCAATAGAATTTATTTATTAATGACTCATTCATATTTTAAAACCCAGATAACTTACAAATATTTGCTGTGGCGTTATCAGAAAGTAAAAAACCTTCATCATTCATGAACTGATGAATATTTATCAGCACCGACATGTTGGCCTATTAGACGGCGAGAAACTAATGAGTATTCCTCGATGATTCACAAATAAATTAAGGCTGATTACAAAAGCTTTACAACCAGATGCACTATTAACCGTCACTAAAGCCACTAATAAAGCTTATCAAGCATTTATAAAGTGTATTTGATTATTTTAAAATGTTTGCATCTCTACCTGCAGGAATCTCAGATACCCACAAGATCTCCATGGTAACCAAAGAAAGCTGCAGCGACAGACATCACAGCTCAAGCCTGCTCGTTCTCTCACAACACCTTTCCATCTCCCTCTCTTCTGTGTGAGGGTGGTGAAGGGTGTGTGTGTCTGTTGTCAGGAAGCTTGACTCTTGAGGCCAGCCGTAAACAGGCAGCGTCGAGGGATGCCGATGTGCCTTGGAGGTCTTGTCGCCATGGGTCCGTAACCAAGGGTGCTAATGTTTGGTTGGCCCCAGGCTTCACGTAGCCTTCCATTCCCAGTTCATCCCAACATTTCCACAGGAAATCATGCTCTTTTCTCTTAGTTCACAATGAGCATCAGGAAAAGGCTGTGTGATGTTAATTTCAAAACTCCAAACACCATTTGTAAAAAAAAAAGGGAGGATGAAAATAAGATGGCTTCTACAAACACATTTCAGAATCCACAAACTTTCATCAGCCTCACAGTCCCCTGACGGTGCCCAAACGTCATGTGTCCATGTCTCCCTCTCATGCCTATTTTTCAGGCATTTTTTATTCATACAAACTCCAGACAACCCAGAGCCACTGCACAGGCCAGAATTCATAAGGAATATGATGGATGGACTCGGAACACACTCAATGCCAAGATAGAGGGAGGAGAGATAATCAGACATAGGCTACATTTACGTAAATGAAGTGGGTGTCGACAGCCAGAACCGTCAAATGTAATTTTGTCTGTGACGCACAATGTTCAGTTACTGAGCTGTTTTATCTTAGACATGGTTCATTATAACTGTACATACTCTGTAAAAACTACTGTAACAAATCTAGTGTCCATTAAACAAAACAACAGGCACATTCTGTCGTATGTGATGTGAAACAGTGTCTTATACGTGCAATTCCTGTTTAAGCTTTCATTGAAGGAACAAAATTGCTTGTTAACCTTGGTTTACATGTTTTGAATGTTGGCTGAATAAAGTGTAGCTGCCAAAATCTTATTTTAATGATGAATAAATTCAAATGATTTTTGTGCATTAACTGTTAAATGTTTTTTACATTAACAATGGTTGCATGTGATCTGACAGGTGACAGAAAATTAAGATAATACAATTGATAATACATGATTGATAAAACAATGTGCTGTCTGATGACGCTCTGTCTCTCGTGTCGTGGCATCGAACTATTTTGACTGTTACAAGCCCCTCCAGAAAATTTCAGGAAAATGTACAAAGTTCAAGGCGTGTCTGAAATCAGCTTTTAATGAATGTTTACTGTCGTTGACACTGTTCCTCTTTTTTTATTTATATTATTTGGGCTTTATATTGGATGGGATAGAGAGCTAGCTGTGAAGGGGGGCAGCGAGGGAGCAAGGGGCTGTGGGTGGGAATGGAGCCCGGGTCACTGTAGATGAGGCATAGCCTGTTCTTCTTCTTGATGCATAACCAGGCTTTTCAGTATTCAGTGTCTTTTTTAGTTTTATATGTGTGTCTACAGCTTGTTGCCCCCAGGTGGCAAAGACAAACAATTCCTTATGATTCCCAGCTACGCCCCTGTTCCTTGGAAAGCATGACTTGTACTGACTGTGGTGTCTCTGCCACATCCATCAGATCTTAACATGCAAACTGCGCATTTGAAAACACATCATTGCTCAGTCACAGCATCGCTCTGAGTCGTGATCTCCATGACTGAGCTCCGTGTGTGTGTGTGTGTCATCCCTGACGTTACCGACCCGCCTACATCACCCTCTGTCTCCCCCGGTGACACACACACACACACTCAGAGGGGGGAGACTCTCCAGCCGCTGTGGGCAGGATCCACGAGTGAAGAGCCCGGAGTGTCAGCGCCAGACGTCCGCATCCGCTGCAGCTAAAGACGCGGGTCCTCAGTGGTATGGACGCCGGAGGAAAGCACTGACCATCCAGGAACCATGCCGACTGTCCTCGGCGGCAGAGAGAAACTTTCCATCGTCTGTTTTCTGCTCCGATGCGCGTATTCTCAGGTGAGAGGGAGCATGGAGTGAAATGAGCTGTGATCAGTGACAGTAGTTTGACCTGATACTGCATTGAGTATGTGAAGTCACCAGTCTGTGCAAAAAGTAGCTTCAGGTGTCACCATCCTTCTTTCGGGTGCAAACTGGAACAACATCTCTGCATGTTCTGCTCTTACCTTTGCAAAGAGTCAGTTTGCAGATTCCTCAGATTTTCTTTAAAAGCAGCCAACACAGACGGTAAGACAGGGATCACAACAAGATGGAACCTGCAGCCAAGAAATGTGCATAAAGAGATTGGAGAGGAATAATATAAGACTAGAATAGAAAAGTGGGTGAAATGGTTTTTCTTCTGAAGCAAAAAAAAGCCACAAAGGCTATGTGCAGAAGAATGTCAGACAAACTGAGAGAATGGATGTACCGAAGGAGGTAAAGCACCCAAAACAGGCGTCTTGTTTGTCCTTTATGACTGTATAACTTTTGCAAATATCCAAAAGCAGCCAACACATATGGACGTGCCAAATATAACCTGAAACACGAGCATAACTTCAGTAATTGCACATAGTTTCAGAATGCAACAGGTGGTAATAGTATCGCTGGCTCGCATGCAGCTTGTTGCAGGTGTTATGATGGGCTGTGGTTTGTTGTGGCCCTGGGGGATTTTACTCATCTGGGTATTGCACCAGAGCGGTGATGCTAGTGGGTATGAACCACATCGCACATGACAATGCTCTTCACTAATGGGCCTGTAAGAGTGAAGGGGGTTCAGAGTTTAGCCCGTGCACCACCACAGGGAGCTGAAATCCTGTCCGTTTGTGTTTTTCATTCAGCGCCTACAGGCGTCATCGCTGCTACACTTTTCTCAGTGTTCTCCACCCGCAGGCTTAAAGTCCAGCCACTCAGACACTGACCTTAGTGAGTCATGCATGCAAGAAGAGACAGATTCTCTCACACACTCACACTCACACTCACACACACACACACACACACACACACACATTTATACTGTGCATACCAATGCTTCACAGATGGCACCAAAAGGCGAGAGTGGGGCAGAAGAAGTAAAATCTTATCTCCTGAATTAATGCTCAAGCACAAAAATTCGCAGCTTTCATGCTATGAAGTGAATTTGAATTGTGAGCTGGGTTGTGGGGAGGGCAACAGAGCGAGAGAGAGAGAGAGAGGTAATGTGTGGGAGAGAGAGAGAGAGGTTGCCTAATGTGGACAGGAAACAGAAAAGTTGCTTGCAACAGTATCAGCATCCGTCTGATCAACTGCAGCTGTGATTACTAAGATATGAGTCATCAACGTCCTCTCAACTCTCACAATTACTGAGTGTGTGTGTGAATGTGGTTTTACAGTAAAGGGTGCTTGTGTGTGTGAGAGTGTGTGTGTATGTGTGTGTGAATGGTACAGCAAAAAGGCGGGAAGCACTGAAGCGGAAGGTGATTTTCATAGCGTGTGTGCGTGTGTGTGTGTGTCTTCGTGATGGAAACGTTAAAGTTTACATGACGATAAAAGACTAGTGAAAGAAATGAATTCTTTTATGTTCCATATATGTGAGTATGAATTTGCACACTAACTCTATTTGCTGTGTATCACACACTGTGCTCACTTGGCTGTAACGTAGGAGTCTAACGTGCTTTGTGCAGCCGATATTTCTTTTTCTTTCAGGTGCTTCTCCAGTTGATGAATGAACTAATCTGTTGCTCTGAAGTGTAACAAAGCTCCTCTGATTAACTGTCAGTCGTAACTTTCTGTGACTTTGTCCTCATTGACCGTCACATCCATTCCTCTGCTTTGCACAGGTAACAGGAAGCCAACGCAACAGCTGTGCCAAAGATATTCTGGAGGTAAGGAAATGACTTGAATTATGTTTGCAGGCATCCTAGTGGCATTGAACCGTTGCAATAACAGGCTTCACCCCTCATTAAATGCATTCAAGTTATTTAAAATGCATTATAGTGGAATGTGTTATAGTCACAAATCATACGTGTATTTGATTATGCAGGGTTTGAGTCATTATGGTCCTTACATATTTAATATATATTGATTACATGCCATTGCTTTGAGCGGGAAACCGCAGGATTATTGATTATTTTCATTATCATCTGTAATTTATGTTTAACAAATGTATTTATCGTTTATTCTACGAAATATCAGAATATAGTGTCAACATATCTGACGTCCAAAACTCAAAATATAAAATTTGATTTTATATAATAATATAAAACAGGAAAAACATCAAATTATCACACATGAAAAGATAATAAATAAAACGGGGATGCAGTTGTTTGCACTGGTGTCTCATAGCAAGAAGGTTATGGTTTCGAATCCCAGTTTGACTTGTTTGCGTAGATTTCTCGGGTCAGTTCTTTCTGCCTCCCACAGTCCAATAACATGCAGATTTGGGTTAGGTTAATGGACACTCTGAATTGACTGTGAATGTTTGTCTCTGTATTTTATTAATTGTCTTTCGATGGACTAATCAGTTAATCGACTAAAAATGTCAGCTCACAGATCTGTGCGTCCCAGTGGTCTTTGTTTTCATATGTCAGGTTTTATATGGTGTAGTGGATGTCCTGTCCCTAGTGTGGGAGGAGCAGCCGAGCAGATGAACAGGGATACAGAACATGGGATGAGGGGAAGGAGGCAGATAGCAACACATAGGGCTCCACCTGGGAACCTTGTTGTTGGAGGAGGGGGGGGGGGATGATTGGTGAGGGCTGGTGCTGTGTCCTCGGTGACTGAGGGAGGAGAGATAATGAAGTGAAAGGATGAGCAGAGAGAGGAAACACTTGTCTCTCCGGGGGCTCTCTGGAGAGAGAGGGAGGAGAAGAGGAGGAGAAAAGGTTGAGAGTCGCTCACCAGGTTCATAAAAATGTCTCATCTCATGTCTTATACTCCCATTCAAGATAAGTAGATTAACACTTGCTCCGATTAATACAAAAAGATTGATCATTCTGTGTGGTGGTCTACACACACACACACACACAATAATTTCTACTGTGCATACCAATGCTTCACAGATGGCACCAAAAGGTAGAGTCTCCATGACGTCAGAGGGCTTAGATTAATTTCCTAGGGATTGAATCTAAACCTAAACCTAACTATTCCCTGCATATAACCATAACCCTTAACCCAAACTTAAATATAAACCTGAATTTAAACCTAAACCTGAGCATAAACTTAAATATAAACATTAACCTTAATCTTAACCTAAATCTACACCTAAACTTTAACCTTAATCTTAACTTTAACCTTAAACTTAATCTAAACCTTAACTTTAACTCTGTGCTCCCTGTATAATTATTACACATATGTACTGTACATTACACACAGGGCCCCCATGCTTCCACATTGATGGAGCTGAGGAGCCAGATCAGGCTCAAGTACTGAACCACTGGTACAAAATCCTCCCAGTTTATCAGCGACCACAGGACCTGGTTTGTCTGAGTGGGGCTGAGGGCAATCTAATCAACAGAGATGATAATCGCACAGTGTGCTGAAGATGCAGAGCTGTCACCCTTTGGTGGTTTCCTGTCGAGTGCCGTGTAGTGAACAAATAAGAAGTGGAGTAAATATTCCTGACAGTCCAGATGTATTATCATGTGTTATCATCACAGACCCGTCCATATTCCCTCAGGGGGAGCAATGCCATGTGCATGTATACAAATATGCACAGACAGAAGGAGCTTGCACATAGAGTGATCACAGGCACACAAAGGAAGGGTTGTGAAACCTCAACAGATGAAATAGATAAGAAATAAAGATGAGACCTGAAATACCATGAGAACAACACAGCTACAGTGATCGATCAAACCAACACGACACAGAAATGCACAGGAAGCCTAACATCTCTGCTAAGTACACTCTCCCACTCCAACCAAGTACTGTACAGAGCTCGACCCATATCCCCCCCCCCAGACACACTCCCCCTGGTGGGGAGGAACTGTGCTGATAACAAGAGTCAGCTGTCAGATGCACTGCACTCTGTGCACTGAATGTGTGCAAATGGAAGAGAATCAAAGGCGAATAAAGAAAGCTCCGACGACAGATTTAGGAAGCCTCGGGTTTGTTTATGTGAAGATCATCACTCACAGTGACATCACACAGTTCACCTTTGACCCCCTGATTCTATTGCGCAGGACATGACTCAGTCGTGGCCGTCCCAGCAAGCCTTAGGGGGTGAGCAGGCCCAACATATCCTCTACAACCCAAAGGTATGTGTGTGTGTGTTTTATGAATCCTTTAGTGGCTCCATATTAAAAGCCTTAAGTGATGTCACAGGAGTCAGTATCAGTTGGGTTTGAAGATGTGATTGATTTTCATCATATTTCTGTACTGACTCGTGTAATTCAATGATCCAAAATGTTTCCAATAATGTTCAAGCCCAGAGAAACCCCAGACTTTGTTCAGGGTCACAGGACATTTCATTTTAGTCGTTTATTAATCGTGTCATATCTGCTTTACCTTGGGCTTTGTCCGTCTCTGCTGTAACTTCTGAGAAAAATGAAGAAGGAAAAACACTCTGCCAGCAAGCTGGCTGTTGTGTCCTTCCACTGTTTGTATTGGTCACTCGTAACAGAGCCAGATTATTCATTGATGTTTGCTGTGAAACGTGTATAAAACTTTAATACTCATCTGGCAGTGGTGTGAACAACAATTCCCATGATCCCTCACTGCTTCAGGAAGTCATGGAAATAGGTCTTTTTTGATTTTTTGGTTGAGAGACTCCTAGTGGCCAAAGTTACATGTTTTACGTTTGCTATTTTGTGTTCTCTCTCTGTCCAAAGGACGTGAAACAATCGACACAGCAAAGGCAAAGTAAGTCTTCACTGATTGATTCATTTTCACATCTGATAGGAGCAGTGATTTACAGCTGGCTCTCTATTGAATGTTTAACATTTCTCTCTCTGTTAGGTCGGGGGGATGTTCAGCTGCGAATGACCCGTAACCCTCGTGTGGCACCTCACAAATCGTAAGTGATGCTTGAGGAAACACAATCCGCTAAAAGGTCATCGTACCTCAACCACAACAGTGGAACGAACACAGACAATAACTTGAATCCCACGCTTAACCCGGTGTGTTCGTCCCACTAAGTTTTTTTAAAATGAATTTAAGGAAACGCACGAATGAAAGAAAAGTAGAATGAAGCGAAGTCGACATACAGGGGGTCGGTTAGCTAACTTTGTGTTTGTTTCAGGCTGTGTAACATAAGTCAGGTCAAAGGTCAGTTAACAGTCTTGGAAGCTGTCAGTGGAGAGCGATGTGCTTCTGTGTGTTAACTCTTTACATCCTCCTTTTAATGTGAAACACATGTTCAGTAGTATAAGCATGTCTCCAATGATCTCACAGCCTCTGTTATGTAATGCAGCAGCTTAGTGATAGTTCACATTTACAACATTCTTGGAAAAAGTCTGGTTTTCCACAGTTTCTGAGTATTTTGAGCACTAAAATCTTTGTTATAGTTATATAGGATATAGACATGTTAGTAAAATGCCATTATAAAACCAGCACACTGCTTATTCAACAGATATGATGCATGATGTGACCGATCCACATTCAACAAGGTTTCTTCATTATTATCATTTTTTTAAATTACAATTGCGATGTTTGTTTACAGCATGCTCGCTGATGACCTGAAGCTGAGCAGTGACGACGATGACACTCAGAGGGTGAGATCTTTAGATTACTGTTCAAATAATAAACCTGCATTGGTAGTGACCTCAGCTGATCTTCACTGTGTTGTGCAACCAAACAAACACTGGAGTGTTTGGCAGCTCTTGTTGCAGGTTACCTGTTTTTCTGGTCGTGTTAAATGTCTCACACACCCATACACGGCACAAGCGGCACTTTGATAGATTTCATTTTTTTGCCACTAATTACATATAAATATGAAGCAGCAGAGGTAACACGTACATCGAGAGTAACAAGTCTTTCAGCGGGCTGCTGCAGCAGCTGCTGCTGTGCATGATGAAGTTTCTGCTTTTTGTTTTTTGTCTCTGAAGGCCCCTCACGAGTCAGCGCCCTGGGACAGACACAGGTACTCGATTACAAAATATCATGTGCATGCTTATTGTTGAGTGTCTGTCTGTTAACATAAGTTAAACTGTGCATGCCATTAAAAAATAACAAGATCTCTCTGCCTGTGAATGTGTTGCTGCTCTCAGCTGTGTACCTATGCTGACCCCTCTCTTGATGTTTGTGTGTGTGTTGACTGACAGCCTGTCAGCACAGCGAGCGCACACACATGGCAGGAGGGTGAGACATTCCAGCTCAGACTCCTCGGGCTCAGACTCCACCGTCGGGTCGGGCAGCAGCAGCATTCGTTCCCGCAGCCCGAGCCCAGACGTTCACCCAGACCCTGGGTCGCCGGCGAACGTGCAGCCGCTGTGCAACCACAAGGAGGTAACTGAGGCCGAGCCTGGTCTTCTGCTCTCTTATCTCCTCTGTCCGTGCCTCTCTCATCTGTGTTTGTGTGCCTTTGAGGGGAATTCTCCACAGGGAGTGGTGGCCACGAGGCAGTTGACGGCAGGTGTGGGGAGAGACGGAGGAGTGAGGAATGCGTGCGAGTTGGACAGGAGGGGGGAGGATGAGGATGTGGGGTCGAGGGGCAGGGGTAGCTTTGGATATTAGTGCCTGGGTGTCATGTCAACAGGCCGAGCCCTCGGGAGGTGGAAGTCGTCAGGACACGAGTTCATGCCGACACCGAAAACCTCTTCCACCGAACAACAGCTCACGAGGGAATGTGTTCGACTTGCATTTCATTTATCTCTGGTACATACTGAACATGCAATTTAGAGGTGTAGAGCATGCTGGGTACGATGGGCTTGTGGAGGTGAGGGGCATTGTGGGGGTTGGTGTGAGACCTGTACTATGCGTTGCAATGAAGGGGGGAAACCTGCTCCTCTTTTATGAATGGTAGGCCCTGTACACAACACAGCAGACTGTATCCCCAAACATGCTCCACATTGGGCCGATACAGAGAGAGCAAGGCAGTGGAGACTGTGTTTTTAAGGGAGGGTGGGGGTGTGTGTCTAGGGTGGGGGGTGCATGCCATGTGTTTTTCATTTACGTGGAGCATTTGAGTGTCTCCCAGAGAAGAGATTGGGGGTTGGAGAAGTGGAAGCAGCAAATCCAGACTTCCAGGTAGTGAGAGAAAGAGGGAGGGACAGAAAAAAAGGAGGGAGGGAGGGAGGGAGGGAGGGAGGGCAAGCAAGACGGCACAAGAGATGCAGTGTCTTCTCTGGAAAGAGGGCGAGGGATGTGGAGGTGGGCCGAAGAGGAGGGTGGGGGGGGGTCGCTGTTTGACTTGAGGAGTAAAGGTTTAATTTAGCTCCTGGTAAGCCAAGAGAGAGAGAGAGAGAGAGGGAGAGAGAGAGAGAGAGGGAGAAGGAGAGAGGGAGGAAAAAGTTTGCTCTGAAGTCGTGAGTATCCTCTTTGTTTTTTTATTTATCTCGTCTCTTGCTTTCTCTCGTGTTCGTCTCATTCTTGCGGTCACCAAGCCAGTTGTTAAGCAAACATGAAATGAGTCATTTGACATAATTGAATAGGGGAGTGTTGAGCTACTGTAGAGACTGTCACACGATGAGGTTTTAATGTCAGTTCAACGTTTTCTTTTAGACCCGATACCAGTTTGTAACTTGGGGTACGGTTAGTTTTAATAGCAGCTGAGTCTGTGAGGTGCAGTAAAGTAAATGTGGTGCATTTTTGATTCATGGCTCTGTTGGAATGTGCAAACGTTGGAGTGTGTGCACACTTGTTTGAAATATGTGTCAGTCCTCATGTGGTTAAACACAACGCTATTCTCTGCTCGCACTTCATCTCTGCATTAGTGCACGAAAAGAGGTGTGCAGAGGTGAAATAACAAAGTACATTTACTCCTATAGTTTTGTACTGAAGTGCAATTTTGAGTATTTTTAATTTCTGCCAGACAGACACACCTCAATGCATATTTAAGTTCACAAGTTATCTTCACTGAGTCCTAACCACTTATTTCCTGAAATCTAATGGTTTTCAGTTGAATAATTCTATTACATTACACTTTCTTGCATTTAAGATGCAGTCAGATCCTTTGACAGTACAACAGAGTATTAGTGCCTGAGAGTTTGAGAAGAAAGTTGTACAATTAAGAGAAACAAGTCATACATTTACAAGAAATACAATCATAATATTAAGTATAAGGACTAAACTGTTTCTATTATAAAGAAAGATTCACACATGCCGAGGAGCAAATATTAGTTATCTAATTTAAAGTTTCAGTGCGTAGGATTTAGTGGTGAAGTTGCATGTTGCAGCTGAATGCCCCTCACCTCACCCTCCCCTTCCAGACATGATGGAGAACCTGTGGTAGCCTTTAAGGTTTAGTTTGTCCAGTTCCGACGACGTAGAGTCTACCCTCTCCTGATGTTAATATAAAGTATTTAAATATAAAGGACCCATTCTAGGGTCAAGAAAACAACTATTTGTATAATTATGATGAAACACACTAATAAGAACATCACCAGGATTATTTTATATTTAATTTCTGCCAATAGATCCCTTTCACCTAAATCCTACACACTGAACCTTTGAATCATTTAAAACACATTTAAATTGACTACATCCAGATTTTAGTTTGGATCTGCACAAAATTAAATACACTAAACAATACCAGTCTCCTAAATATGCCAGATTTTTTGCATCAAGATTCACAGACGATTCTCTGAGAAATCTAAGAAAATGTTAAAAATGCTCGACTGCACATTAAAGAAAGTAGGAAAAAGAATTCCTGGATAGTTCCCCTGATCCGGATCTATGCCATAAGCTTTAATAATAAAGTACTATAATAAGAAATAGAACATTTTAATGTGGGATTTATGTCTACATTGTTTTGTATTATTATAGATTTGTCTAGTTCATGATTTATATTTTTAATCTCTCTTTCTTTAGACTAATCACCCCGCTGCGGCGCAGTGGCAGTTGGACAAATGGCTGAAGAAGTCCCACAAAAAATCTGCCAGCAGTGAACAGGATCCATCTCAGAGCGCTAGGAGACGCTTGCCCTCTCCCCACACCCAGCGCGCCCCATCCCCAGCCAGGTCCTGGGACAGCAATCAGGAATACAGCCCCAGTCAAAGCCCTATTCCAAGCCCACAGTTCAATTACAGCCACAACAACACCCCTCTTCCCAGCCCTGGTTACAGCTACTGTCCGAGCCCCAGCCCCTTTACAAGCACCTGCCCCAGCCCCAGCCCAAGGCACATCTCCATCCCCAGTCCAGCTCTGAGTGTTTGCCTCAGTCCGTGTGGGAGCCCAAGGGGCAGCCGCAGCCCGAGCCCCCTTCCTACACATCCTCCAAGAAGCCCAAGTCCCAGCTTACCATCTCCTTCAAGGCTTCGTCACTACCCTGAGATTCAAACACAAACTGTCCAAACAACCAATCCCCACAGGACAAAAGTTAGGTCATGGATCCCCCCGTTGCCTAACACAGACACCAAGAACAAGCCCACGAATGGTTCTCACCCTCAGGCGACTCATCAGCACCAGCCCAGAGCTCGACCAACACAAGAGCAAAGCAAATCCAAGGCCTCTGCTTCTGTTTTAAACTCTGGCCTGAATCACAGCCAGAAATCTAGACCCAAGTCTAACTTTCATCCTAATTCTAAAGCGCTGTCAGAGGCTCCCAAAGCCAAACACAAATTGCATTTTGAACAAATCCAGGGCAGCAGGTCCAACCACAGCTCTGACAACAAGCCCAGGCCTCTGTTTCAACGCGGCTCACAACTTAACCCCACTAGAGCAAAGCACTTAGCTCCTGCTAGTCGTGAAACCAACGCTGGTCACGCTTCTCACTTGCAATCTACCTCTAAAGCTGCTGCTAATTCTGCCAGTGGGTCGAACTCGAGTGCTAGTTCGAGTCTTAAACCAAGGACCAAGCCGTCGGAGGCCTCAGTGCAGACTCCTGTGCATGTGAATCATACTAAAGCATCAAAGAAGAAACCCCAGACCAAAGAACAGGAGGTGGACCACAGACGAGATCATCCGACAGAGGGGAGAAAACACGAGAGGAAAGAGGACAGACATCGGGAAAAACCGAAAGGTAAAGAGGAGAGGAAGGAAGACAGGAGGCTGGCGGAAGAGCAGCTGCTAAGACGTCCCTGGATCCAGAGTTCAGCAGAAGAAGAAGAGGAGGAGGAAGAGGAGGAAGGAGTGATAGAAAGGCAGAGGAGAAGAGAGGAGACAGCAAAAGGGGAGAACAGGAGGAAGGAGCAGCAACATCGACGTGATTGGCAAACCAGAACAAGACTGCCCACTGATGCCAAGCGACACCAACCTAAGGACGACTCATACCACCAGGGGGCAACGAAAAGGGGGGGGAGAGCTGAGGAGGAGAGAGAGTTACAACTGGAACTTTCACCTCCTCCATCACGTTGCCCGACACCTCATCGACCGTCCTCCTCATCCTCTTCCTCGCATTCAGATTCAGAATCTGAACGTATTATCGCCAAGGTTCCAGCCGACTCCACCTCCCACAAGAGACTCACCAAGAGAGGGCAACAAGGCCCAGGCAGGCCTGAAGCCAACAGGCCCAAGGCAGCGCCCCCCAGAGGAGCCACTGCTCATCCAAGCGAGGGGCAGCAGGGTGAGAACAGGCAAAAACTCTACACCCTAGTCCCGTTTGGGCGAGGGGAACAGGCTGCAGCTTCTTCCCAGCGAGGGCTCAGAAACCTGGTGGTGCAGATCGACCTCTGTCTTCTCAAACGAGTCCCGGACAGCACGAGTGGTCCCGCTGTTAAAAAACTCTCTTCCTCTCCCTCCTCCTCCTCGTCAACCAGGGACAAGCAAAGAGACAGCATGAAACACCTGTACACACCTGAGACTGTGACAAAAGACGGAAAAAGGAAACGCAAGGTAGACAATGTGTATTTTAACCTCCGCCAACCAGGAAATAATGTTTCCATCTGCGTTTCTCTCATTGTTTGTTTGTTTGTCAGGATTACACAAAACCTAATCAACATATTTCAATGAACTTTTGTGTTGAGGTGGGGCTTGACCCAAGAAAGAACTTGTGTAGTGCAGATCAAGATCAGGGGGCGGATCCAGATTTTTTTTTCCTTTAACACTGTGAGCATTTTTCAGCAATTTTGGTGATTTCGCAGAGAATAATTCATGCATTGATGACAAAAGTCAACCATTACACATATGTCGTTTCACAAGTGGACTCGGCCATTGGCCGGTGTATGTGCTCCACTGAGTGCATTCTTGTTACTTATATATATTTACTTTTTATTTTTATGCACAAATGAGGCAGAAAGTGTTGATTATAGACATATTTGTCTTTGTGTGCGTCCAGCTGGAGAACGGTGTGTCACAGAGAGAAAGCAAGAGGAGTCTTCCCCATGCAGGAGACGGCCTCTCGGATCGCACAGAGCCGTCAGCTCACACAGCTGGGCCCGACTTTGTGACAGAGACCACACACAACGGGTAAGAGAACATCACACACACCTTTAAGTTTTATCAAGGGGGTGCACTGGCTCCAGTTGAAGAGCCCCTGTCCTGTCAGCAGTCTTTAAAAAACTAGTCCCTCCTCCTACAAATCACCTTCTGATTTTGTCTCATATACAGTATATGTCTGCAGTCTCATTGTGTGCACAAATGTGTATTTGTGTCAATGCTAATATATGTGTGTGTGTACTCGAAGGTTCTTGGAGGAGTACTTAGACAGCAAGAGGCCACTGTCTCCGCTGTCTCCACTGTCTCCACTGTCTCCACTGTCCAACAGCCCAAAGTCCACCAAACCTCCCAAAACCAAGACTTCAGAGCAGCATCACAGCCACAAGAACAGAGACAAGACCAAAGATTCTGCTGTGAAGGTAAAAACTAATCAACTACTTATTGAGATCGTCCCAGCTCTATTGCTTGCAATAACCTAATTAAATATTACTGATGATCGTTACTCAGCCCAAGATGGAGGTGGAATGTGTTAAAGTGTCCAGACAGACCCAGCCCCCGTCTGAGTGCTGGGGCCCTGCAGGACACCAGGGGACTGTGAATAAATATGAAACGTGAGCAATGACATGTACTCCACATAACTGCACAGCTCACTTTACTGATAGAATAAAACCCTGACTGTACTGCACTCTCTTGTTGTTCATCTTACTAGTCCACACCATGCAGAGTACTACTTACATGAAGCTAAAAGGATGAAGCATCGAGCCGACGCAATGGTGAGAACTTCACCTTGTAAAGTTTTGACAACAAAGCAAAAACATATTGTGAAATACAAATATTTGCTGAGATATGATTTGCTGGTCAGCGAGAAAGAAAAACTGTATTTGCACCTTTGTTTCCAGGAAAGATACAAATGCATTATATGTACATATATATTTTACATTGTGCTTTAGTCAACTTACCCTAAAACCAATTTACTCTTCTTTAATATATATCCATCTTTACTGGTGTTGGATTTTTGTTTCAGGTGGACAAGCTGGGGAAAGCTGTGAACTACGTGGATGCTGCTCTCTCCTTCATGGAGTGTGGGAAAGCCATGGAGGAAGGACCGCTGGAGGCTAAATCTCCGTATACCATGTACTCAGAGACAGTGGAGCTCATCAGGTGAATCACATGTTAATTCACCAAGAAAAACAGACACATCCGTTTACATGACCTGCAGCTCCATTGCTAATGTCCCTGTTGTTTTTTTTTTCTCAAAGATATGCAATGAGGTTGAAGAGCCACTCTGGCCCTGGGGCGAGACAGGAAGACAAACAGCTGGCAGTTCTGTGGTGCGTGTGTCATCGTCTGTGTTGGTGCCACATCCATCATCACGCTGAAGAACCTGTGGTTTGCGTGTGATTTGTTTGTTTGACCTTCGCTTGTGTGTCCTCAGTTTCCGATGCCTTGCCCTACTTTACTGGCAGATGTTTCGGTTAAAGAAGGACCACGCTCTGAAATACTCCAAAGTACTGCTCGACTATTTTAAGGTATATTGGGAAAAAAAATCTGATTTACAATTTTACATGGAGTGTAAACATCTGGATAACGTTTATGGTGCTGTTACAGGGTTCTCCCAAAGTCCCTTCTACACCACCCTGCTGGAATGAATCTGGGAAGTAGGTGGATAATACATTTGTATCACAGCCTCTCTCTTCAATCCATTTTCTGCCATTAAAAGCCACTGAAACCTTCATTGATCACCATCGCTCTCTCGTTCTTGTGTTTCCACTCCCCAGGGATGCAGGAGGAGCCCCTCTGTCGCTCTCGCCCAACGCCAAACACCCTGCAGGGAGTTCACATGGGGGCAGCAACTCCCCCTCCTTCATAAGCATTCCCCAGCGTATCCACCAGATGGCAGCAAATCACCTAAACATCACCAACAGTGTGCTGTACAGCTACGAGTACTGGGAGGTGGCCGACAACCTCGCTAAGGAGAACAAAGGTAAAATTTGATGTATTAAATGGAATAAACCCCTTGTATCATTTTTGGCTAGCTAAATGACAACAAAGAATGCA